TCACTGTTTGTACGGTCGCACCTCCCAATCATGGCGTGCAGGCATGCGATGACGTGTCCCACAATTCCAAGCTGGCTATTGATTTTTAAAGGCTGATTGTTTAAAATCCGTAAGATTACCTGCCACCATCTATTAGAAACATTTTACGTTACTTACAATATTAGTAATGCACTAAAATATACTGATAAAGCTAAAAATGTCGATTTCTTAACATTTTGTCGTATTGGTTGTGAAAAGGAGGAGAGATTTTACTCAATGGGATATTTACCTAAAATGGATTAATTATATTCGAAGGTGAAATGGAAACTGGGTGCAGTTTTAAACAAAACCATAATTACATTGTTTCACGCCGATTATTGATTAATGTAGGATTTATAACTTTTGCATATGTGTTGCTTATCACAATTCCGCATAATTCTAAACTTGCATGGTGACTGAATTGATTTCTTGGTTTAGTATTTGTGTACCAAGTTACTGCAATAGATGTCCCATGCGCCTTCCTGTTCGTATCACCTGAGGCGAGAAAAATAGTCTCTCCAAATCAGAAACACGGCTGATAGGTGCAAAGCACAATCGCAATCCCTTCAAGGGTCATTTTCTCAAACTCATGAAGTTGTAGATCATTACTTGCTTTCAATTCCAATGAAGATCAAGTACCACTTCCGTATAATCGATATTTGCCAACACTTCCGGCGCATTCAGGTTATACCACTCTACGATAATTAAATATTTCCGGAAAAAATGTGATATTTTTATTTAAATAGATCCGAATAAATTGCGTTGACTTAATGTTTGACTTAAATGCTAAATGAGTCCGATTCGCTTTCTTCCTTTTAATGCGTTGGTCTTCCTCCAATCCACCTCAAAAAGAGAAATTCAATCAAATGACAGAAGATTTGTTAACTAGCAGTACAATTTGAGATCAACTTCCAACACCATACACTGGTCTTCTGCAAAATAATCTGCCGCCCCATCCTTTTACTGCTGACAGATTCAATGGTGGAATAAGAGAGTGCCAAAATAGAAGTTCCTAGCATATTCTACTTACAATTTTTCAGTAGCATCTTCACGAGTCCTTAAAAAAAGTAATCTAGGCTACTAGTTGAAAACTTGAAAATATTGAAAAATGTGCTTTTCAGGATTCCAATTAAATTGCAAAAAAATATTTAGTTACGGAATCTCCAAATATCAACATTCATTTCAGTAATGGGTGGTTCTGATTGCAAAACAATCCAAAATTAATAAATGTGCCCCCCCCCCACTACCATCACAATCATTACCAAATTTTTACCTCTAAATTCAACCTCTCTTTCCTCAAAAAGTCTTCGAAGTTTTCCATTAAATTCATCCTCTTGGAAATTAGAGGCAGTGTTTTAACTTGCATGCTTTAATTTAAATAGAAGCCTGCTTTGGGGGAACAATCTCTGACATATCACTCTTTCTAGGCAATACTACTGTTGTGCAATATTTCGTGAAAAAAACACATGCACGATAGTTCCGGCGGCTAATTTATCCCGATGACCGCTTGACCAACTATTTCGTGTGGGATGTTTACCAAAAATGACTAATCAACGGAGGGGAGGGGTTCGGGGGTAGTGGGGGGGGGTGTAGAAGGAGCTTTATTTGACCTTATCTGACCTTTTCTATTATGAAAACACTCCGAAGCATGGGGTGTAAAGGAGCTCTCTATGACACTTACTCATCATTACGTAGAGCTACCTACCATTAGGACACATAAAGCAATACTTTATTTATTTATATCAAATGACAGGCGTCTTAATGGTTATCATTAGCCCTTTAGTTGACTTCAGACTTCACAATAGTTATCATAAGCCGTTTAGCTGACTTCAGGCTTCACAGAATGGTTATCATTTGCCCTTTAGTTGACTTCAGGCTTCACAGAGTAAATTGAAAAAAATCGAGAGGGGGCGGGGGGAAGAAGGGTGTTTCAAAGATGTAAGAGACAGACACAAAGGTAGAAAAAAGGTGAGGTGAGTACAGTGAATATAGTCGAATATGGCATAGAGTGAGGTGATGACAGTTTGAAGTGAGAAGTCAACTGCCAGTTAATAAACTTTTTTGCCGTATGAGTATACGTTGCCCAGGGTGCACCACGTGGAGGTAAGTATATCGCACACCCCTGCATATCAAATTTGAGGCCGATAATCAAATGGAAGGTATTTCAGAGCATGAACTATGACTTTACGCTGCAGTGGGAGCACCTTTGGTCCACTTGATCTTATATGCCACAAGAAATCGATTTGCCTTTTAATGAAAGATTTCATGGGACTTGAAAGAAA